TATAGCTGAGTACTAAATAATTTCAAATATTTGAAGATTCCATTTTATATGTACTTTCCTAATTAAAAAAAAACAAAACAGTGGCATTAAACAAAAGCTCTTACCATTTCATTTCCCATATTCAAGAAATACCGTAGATAAAAAGTACTATATAGTTTAAAGTTATATTATAAAGGAATCTCTCTACCATACTATTTTAATCGTGAATTGTTCAGTAAAGAAGACCACTGTACGACACAGCGTTACACATATAGATTTGGAATAGTATCTGCTGGGCCGTTAGTAGCAAATGAGGTTATCGAGAGGCATATATCACGGGGGCTGCTGCAATATCACGCCGACTTGTTTCTACAAATAATACGCTTGTTCTTTCGTTACACGTATACTTTATGCCGTGTGGTACAAGGTACAAACTTAATGCGACATGACATTCAACTAGTAAATTACATAATATTATTTACAATAAACTAAAATGATAATTCACTATGTTAGAATTCACTTAAACTGAAATTTGATTTCAATGATTCATAGTACTTTTGTGTTAAATTGTTAAATATATAATATAAATAACGACTTGCATTTTTAATTTTATCGATTTTATTTGTCAGAAGATTATATAACAAACATTTAGAAATTTAAAATCTTAGGCTACTGACATTGAAGTACAGATTGACATGTTAACATAACGCCGAGAGTTGTATTAAAAATATTGTTTTATGTCCCTTTAAGAAGAAAAACTGGTCAAGTGCGATTCGGACTCGCGCTCAGATAGTTCCGAACAAACCTGTTGGTAGTAGACTAGAATTACCCTTTAGGTCGGGTACCTTAAGAATTAACCATTATGGAAACATGAGAGCTTAGCATATTTGTTTGAACTTTTATAAGAAGTTTTGTGTAATATAATTATTTCTTACACCTCATGGCCCGCCTCCTGTCGTGCCTTGCGCACCTCGCTTCACGTCCGGGCCATACATCATTCGTACCTGTAATATTAACACGCACTATCGCCACCAGATGTCGCGCACGAACACGTCTCTCTTGTTTTTTTAGACCAGGGCTCTTCCGTAAGGTTTAAGGTTTTTAGGGTTCTGTACCTCGAAAGGAAAAAAAAGGAACTTTTATAGTATCACTTTGTTGTCCGTCTGTCTGCCAAGACCCCATTTCTCAGGAACGCGTATCAAGCTGGAATTTATATCAAATACTGTGGTCAGCTGTCTCTTGGTGCTGTGAAAATGTAAAACGGTCCATCTAGAGTCTTGAAATTTGTCATGAAGCAATGAGTTATAGCACACATAAAGGAAAAATTAAATCTTAACAAAACAGTAAATTTTTCGTTTCATTATATATAATAAAAACATTATAATTTTTTTACAATTTTAAAAATACCCCTTTCATCATGAATGCGTAGAGGTATCAAGTTGAAATTCATATCAAAACTTCTATATCACCGCAATCAAAACAAAAAGCCGCCTTATGCCGCATTTTAAACTCCCAACTACTCACAAGGGAATCAAAACCTAAAGGGTACTTCTACCTACAGCTTTGTTCGATACCCTCGGGGTGCGTCTCCGACTCTTGACCAGTTTTTTTATTAATCACTTAAATTTCTATTATATGATAGTTCTATTACCCTGTAGATATTAAATTTAATTGTGACTAATGAGTTTCGTAGAGCGAGCTAGAGATCCGATGCGCTTACTTAGGGCTTATGCCAAGAAATAAAGAACTAACAAAGTAACCGCTTGTATGTAAACTATTGGTTAACATCGTAACTTATTCACCAGCCGTGGATCACGTTATAAAGAATAAAAAAAAGGATTATTGATAACAAATAACTTATATTATTTTTACATACAAGCGACTGGGTTGGTGGTCAGTCTGCGATTGTGTTGGTGGTCAATCAGCGACTGAGTTGGTGGTCAGTCGACGACTGCGTTTGTGCTCAGTCGGCGACTGCGTTGTCGGTTAGTCGGCGACTGTGTTGTTCGTCAGTCGGCGACTGCGTTGGTAGTCAGTCGACGACTGCGTTGGTGCTCAGTCGACGACTGCCATGGTGCTCAGTCGAATGATAAAACTACATAACCGATTTATATGAAAATTGCTACACAGATTGTCTAGAGCCTGGGAAAGAATATAAGCTACTTTTTAACGCGAAAAAAGGGTTGAAACGGGGTTGCAAATTTGTATGGATGTATCCTTACTAATATTTAGTTCTCTGAAAGGAAATATGCTACTTTTTAACTAAGCTTAGTGAGTTTAATATGTTTTATGTTATAATTAAAATGCTACCCAAAGATTGTATTTCATGCGGACGAAGTCGCGGGCACAGCTAGTGGAGATATAAATCAAAGGTAATTGCGACGTGATTAACTTACTATACATTTGAACGCCGGCAGAAGCTACGCTGCCAAAACTTTACAAAGTTCCAACCAAACATTTTTACATTACAATATTTTTATATATAAATCCAGATAACTGACTTTATTGTGATTAATCTAGTAAAGGAACTCTCTCTTGTATAATGGAATTACGTGTAATATGCAACTAATTACTTATTTGGCTCCCATAGTACACGTGCTCGACGACAAGACAGAGCACGTAAGTAACACCTCTCTCACGTCAAAGCTTTGAAGTCTGATGTAATCAAGCTCTCCACGGCGCGGTTGTCTCGCGGAAATCCGACGGAAGGATGCTCTATGTTTTATCTTAAACGTCCAGTCAAACATTCACATCGCAAATATAATCGTATTGCGTCGTTTTGATAATTTTCATTTATTCATTCCTAAATGGGAATTTAGTTGATTTGCTGTAATTATTTTAAAAATAGCTAAGTGTAAACTCAAAACCGAAAAGGAATTGGTAATGACCTATGTTACAACCTATTTTACCAAATCGATATTATCGTTTAAAATAATAGGGATCTTAATTACTGGCATTTTTATTTTTTGTTAAAAAATTTTAATTAAGAGAATAAAACGAACTTTTGGTAATTTATATTAATATATTCCTTCGTACAATGTAGAGCAATAAATTAACTATGTCCTATCAGGTTGGCGAAGACATCAAGTTATGTAAATGTGTTTTATATAAACGAGTGTCCTTTGACTTCATTATAAATATATTTTATACTAATTTTAAATAATACTATTAAATCACTATTACATTACATTTGACTAACTTGTTTTTCTACAAATACAATCTGTGTAACGAAGGAGACACAAATGTAGTAAAAAAATAACCATATTAAGTCGCGGAAGAAATGCTCATCTAAACAGTTGTTGAGTGTAAACATTCTGCATGTGTAAACGTGGCAGACTGGCCAGTAAGAACCATTGCCTTTTTATGATGAAAAAAAAATAAATTTTCTATCTAACAAAAAAGTTGGCAATGACTATATAGGCAGTTGCTAAAATATGATTGATTGTTGTCTCGATATTCGTATTTGCGAACCCCCTGTAGTTTTCATGACAAAGGTTTTTTTTCGTAAAGGTGTGGTTTGTGCAACAAAATTGTGTTTTAATATGAATAAAATCTATTTAATACTTTTTGAGATATTTGAATAAATTTGCAAACTTTAAAACCCTTTAGCGGCTAAATGAAAAGACTTTGGATAGAGGTAAGTTGTTTTAAATCGTCATATTTTCGACCAAGGAATCTGTTGTACTGCATTGTACCAATCATTCCCGGACACCTGTATATAAAATATTTTAGATCAATGTTTGCACCAATTGCAGTTCGATCTATTTATATTACAAAAGATCACTTTTTTCGAAAATATGAATTTAGTAACATCAGATCATGTAGTAGTTTTATTAAATCAGAGTTAGTTGAACAAATAAAAAAAAATCAAAGAATATATTTCTACAATATAAGTAGAGCAACATTTCACTCAGCGACGTACAGGACTATTTACCACAATGGAACTCCTTTTTTCGGTCCTTTGTGGCATCTCCTTTGATTAACTTTGATCTAGGTGAGTGCGCCGACCGGCGAGAGATCGGCTTCCCTCCTCCCGCGGCCGCGCTAATGGATTGTTACGGTGTAAGACTTCGCTTTGAAACTCACCTGAACGATACAGTCTTATCTTTGTTTTTAGACAATTCTTTGTGGACGTTAGATACCGCGTGTTTGCAATCTTAGCTTTCTTGAAATTCAATTCCACAAATAGCTTGTCCCTACTGCACTAGGTTACTATAAAGTAATCTATAATTAATAAAAATAGTCTCAGAAAAGTATTTCGTACAAGTAAATTTATAGCAAACTTTTCTTAGACATAGAAAGCATGTATAGGAACGTATTTGCTCCTAAGCTACTACTTACTCGTTTAATATTATCAGAGGAAAACGTCTTAAAAAGTTTGTTACAGAAGTTGTTGTAATGACCTTGAGCAATGCTTCCTTTTTCAGATTTTTTAGTACGCTGTGATAATGAATAATGCCGATACGCTTAGATAACATGAAAACGACCATTTGAATTGCAAACATTTGCATTTGAGATGAAAGAAAGACACAAAAATATCTTCAAATTAATAAAAAACTCAAGTTTACTTTTATTTAAATGTCATTGAATGTTCTTCAATGATCACAAGAATATTTATGTTGTGATGGATTATAATCAATAGAATTAAAAGATTCCTCCTCATCATCCAAAGATATAAAAATAGTTTTGTTTAAAATGAGCAATAAGAAATTATTACCCTTATTTTTGTTATCGTAATTACAATCCAATTTTCATATGAATTACTTTCTCAAATCCTTCCGGCGTTTCCCGAACAGCCATAAACAAGATTGATAAGTTCATCTCTAATAATGAAGTAAGTGAACTAACACACAGAGAAATCCGGGGTAAAAGCTTTCATCTGATTCAATATTTAAATATTGTTTAAATATTTCAACAATTGTCAAAAAATCACTAGAATGCACGGCGACGGCTAAGCCGAAGTACAATGCATCAAAAAGCTAGCGGTGGCACATGTTTTCAACAACAATAAAACAAGGATAATTAATAACGAATAACTTATATTAGATCATCACTCTATATACAAGCGACCGTGTTGGTGATCAATCGGCAGCGAGGCTGGTATGAGCTGTAAGGCGTGCGGGGGTCGTCATGCTTAGGGAATGTGGGCGCCCTGGGGCTGGAAGCCAAGCTCGTTGGCGATGTAGGTAATGGTGTAGACCTGGCCGTCGTCGCCGGTGTAAGAGTACTGGCCGCGGACCTCGAGGGCCTCTCCTTCAGTACCCTGGTTTTTCAACTGACCCTCGGCGTACACCGACTTGCCATCGTTTGTTTGGAAACTGCAAAGTAATGTAGTCAAATTTATTTTTAATTTATCCCTCGAGGGTTTTGTGGCTGCAATTCGCAACTGTTGTCATAAATATACGCGCATATCCAGATGCCTGTGTATAGTTATTATAACATAGTACCGGATAGCTCAGACCACCCTTTTCTTAAGGAGGCGCTTTAATCTGTACTTTTATATTTATGCGAGCATTCAGGTCACGTTATCGCTCGCAGATTAAATTGATAGAACAGTATGTAAAGAAAGTGTAAGTACCTGAAGGAGTAGGGTCCGACACCGATGTTATCGAATTTTTGGTCAGTTGTCTCCGCAGTCTGGGGGTCGATGGGCACGGCGGCCACTGCGCACACCAGCAGAGCAATTGCGATTACCTGCAAAAGACACACTTATTTTCAACAGCACAACACGCATCCCGACAACAACCGAGGGTGATTAGTATTTATAAACCAATATTTACGGCTCTAATATCCGAATTAGTAGTTTAGTAACAAGTTTAAACGTAAACGAGTTCAATGACAGTAGTCCATACACATAAAATGGAAAGAAAGATGGAGGTAATAAATACTTAAATAATACACTAACTTAATTATTTGATTAAAGCGTCAATGCCAAGGAAACCAAGTATGTGTTTATCCAGAATTCCACCTGCTAACCTCTCACTTCTATTATGTTGGACAGGTTTTAAAAAAAAGTTAGGAAGTACAAATATTTGCAATGCTGGGTTGATGATAGAGAAGATCACGGTCTCGAAATAAAGTGCCGCATAGAATAAGCTCGGAATACTTTCCACAGACTCCGAAAGCTATTAAGCAATAAAATGGTGTATTTAAAGCTACGGATGCGATTAGCACATTGCACGTTTTCTCCGTTTTCCTGTATGACTGTAAAGCGTGGACACTCACAGAATCGATGTGAAAGAAAGACGTAACCTTTAAAATGTGGCTATACAGGAAAATGTTAAGGATATCCTGGAGAGAGAAAAAGGCAGAATCTCTTTGTACCATCAAGAAAAGAAAGCTGGAGCACCTAGGCATTAAAATGATAAACACAAAATGCGGATTGATGCTCATCATCGTACAAGGAAAGATGAAAAGAAAGCGAATTGTCGGTCAAAAGCAAACATCATCGTGTAAAAATTTACAATAGTCGATTGAAAAAGTACCCCTTCACTTTTCAGTGTCGCGGTGTCAAGAATACTAGTTGCCTTAGTGATTTCTGATCTTCAAAAATGATGGTAGCAAAGGTAATTGCGACGTGATTAACTTACGGATTTCATTTTGGAGATGAGTGTTGTGTGTGTTGTGCAAGAGGATGAAGCTAGAGACTGTGGCCGGAACACAAATGGCAAACACTTATATACTTACACGACGCCGCGCAGCCGCCAGTATTGCCCACTTTGCATATATTTGAATGCCGGCAGAAGCTACGCTGCTTGAACTTTACAAAATTCTACCCATACATTTTTACATTAAAACATTTTAATTCATAAATGTAGATAACTTGGTTTATTGTGATAAATATAGTAAAGGAACATATATTAAAAAAAAAACATAATAGGGTTGGCGCGTGGAGTATTCGATAGAGATAAAACACATTAAATGTCATTACACTTTTGATTCATTATTCTTTTAGTATATTCTGACGTCTAACATTATAAAAGCGAATGTTTGGATGTATGGGAGGAAGGATGGATGGATGGTTGTTTTTGAGAAGATATCTCCAGAACGGCTGTGTGGATCTCACTGAAATTTGGCATAGATATATAACATAACCTGGAATAACACGTAGGCTACTAATTAAGTTTTATTTTGAATTCGATGCGGTCGGAGTCGCGAGTAATAGTTAGTTATGTAATAAAGGTGTGGTGGCGTCATAGAATGTAATGTCTGACCTTGGCATTCGCTTTCCTCGCCGGCATTCACGACGAGTTCGTTGGAATACATTACCGAACTATTCATAACCGGCTTCCTGTGGCCGGTGAAGACTGACACGGTCGTGTCAAAACACTGTCATTTGAGTTATTTGTTCATACCTCATCATCAGCTCACTACGTCCTCACTAAGGGGCTCGGAGCCTACCCTAAGTTAGGGGTAACTAGGCCATAGTCAACCACGCTGGCCCAGTGCGGGTTGGTTGACTTAACACATATCTTTGAATTTCTTCGCAGATATGTGCAGGTTGCATCACGATGTTTTCTTTCACCGTAAATCGAAAAACACATTGGTACATGGCGGGATTCGAACCCAGGACCTGCAGATTACATGTCAAGTGCTTAAAACCCTGAGCCCCCAACGCTCTGCCTTTTTTTATTTTCTTTTAAATTCTAGTTTTATAGTGTTTTTTGTGATTTTTTATAACGACACTATGAGAACGGAACAGATGCATAACGGGTTTGTGTGTAGCTGGGCGGATGACAACCGATGTGATGTAATAATACGAGTATAAATGAGCACCATTGTGGATTATGATAAATATCATAGTATATATATGTACTTTTTATATAACAGAAGAGGGCAAACGAGCAGCGGGAACACCGAGGTGTTTAACTTACACAAACGATATTTAAGCCAATATTTGATAACTCATGCAGCAACTCTAGGCAAAAAGGTACTTAATAAACTGCGGAATTAAACAACATAAATCAATCTGAAGAATATACATATGTAAAACTTCCTTTTTTAAATTTAACTTCCTTCATTGCACGCTTATTGTAATTTTATTGAATCGTTATGTTTTATTGGAAATAATTTTTTTTCAAGTATCGTGTACGTACGTTTTATTTATAATTTTGCATTTTATATCATTATGTGAGTTTTGTTTTGGGAAAATTGTAAAAAAAACTTATAATACTTAAAATACTTAAATCAATATGCTCTTCGTTCATCGCCTATGTCTTAAACTTTATTTTACTTTATGCCGTACATTTATCAAAAGTTTATATCAGTCAAAAGTAAGGTTGCGAACGCACGGAGCTTCGTAATCACGTCACAGG